GGGACAGCGGTCGCGCCTGGTGCTACAACGCCGAGGGCACGGACCCCCGCTGGCAGTACTGCGACGTGCCGTACTGCAGCCCTCTCTGCGACGCGGCGTCCCTCTGCGCGCGGCACGACGCGAAGCAACGGTGCCCGCCGGCGAGGTGCGAGTGGAAGAAGAAAGCGTGCCAGCCCAAGGCCGACTGCGCGTCGCTCAACAAAAGGCGGTGCAAGAAGCGCAAGAGTTCCTGTCGGTGGAGGCGCGAGGCGTGCCGCTCGAGGAACGAGTGCGCGTCGCTCAAGCGGAAGTCCTGCAAGGCGAACGGGACGTCGTGCAAATGGAAGCGCAAGGCCAAGAAGTGCAAGGCCAGATAGGCCGCGACCCCGGGGGCAGCGACATGGACCAGGACGCGCGCAAGGCCGCGGCCCAGGCGAGGCGGGGTGGGAGCCCCAGGTAAATTTGTTATTGAATCAGTGCCAGTTACTACGGAGCAGTGGCGGGGCCCGGTGCGGCTTTAGTGGGCCCCCCAGTGCCCGCGCCCGCCCAAGGCAGGCGCGTAGGCGGGGTGCGTCGCCTAATGCGCTAGAGAGAGATCGAATACACGCGCGCGTGACCCGCGTCGGTGCCGCCGCCGTCGTTGTAGTGCGCCCCGACGGCCAGCGCCGTGCCGTCCGCGCTCAGCGACACCGAGTAGCCCGAGTGGTCGTTCGCGGCCTCGCCGTCGATGTCGTCGCCGCGCTGAACCCACGTCTCCTCGACGGGGTCCCACGCGAACACGCGCGCGTGGCCCGCGAAGGAGCCGGCGCCGTCGTTGTAGGGCGCCCCGACGGCCAGCGCCGTGCCGTCCGCGCTCAGCGACACCGAGTAGCCCGAGTAGTCGTACGCGGCCTCGCCGTCGATGTCGTCGCCGCGCTGAACCCACGTCTCGTCGTCGGAGTGCCACGCGAACACGCGCGCGTGGCCCGCGCGGTCGCCGCCGCCGTCGTTCCCGTACGCCCCGACGGCCAGCGCCGTGCCGTCCGCGCTCAGCGACACCGAGATGCCCGAGTAGTCGTTCGCGGCCTCGCCGTCGA